TCTATTATTAAAATGTGTCATATAAACATACATATATATGTAAATCTTAGAGTTAGTGAACAGCATTATTAAGACCATTTTGGCTGAAGAGCACTAAACTAGGCATTGGAAGAAAACAAGAAAAATTGAAGCCAGTTCATGCGTGTAAAGAATTTATAGTCTAATTAGAATGTCAAAATATATAGTTGAGAATAACAGGAAATATAGGTGTTATTCTAAGACTTGAAGGCAAACATCTAAATTCAGCAAATTAAAATTCGTTATAGTCAATCATGTATACGAGACTAATGGGCACACCGGCCCAAAATCAAAGGTGAGAAGGCAGGAAGGGGCAGGAAAACTGGGTGAATGGAAACAGGTAACCTGGGGTTGAGAAGGGGACATATCATGGGGTTGGCAGCCAATGTCACAAAACAATTTGCATACTATCTGTTTAACGAGAAACTAATTTGCTCTGTAAACTTTCGCCTAAAAAAAAGAATAAAATGCAATATAGTAAGATCCATATCATGAGATTGAAAGAATTATTTCTTGAAAGAAAGAATGTTTTAATATACCATTTTCTAAATATTAGTAGTTTCTTTAGCTATTAATGTGTTCATTACTTACTACTCAATATTTATTTCAGAAAACAATTTGTAAATGATATTAAACGCTGCATATGACAATTTACTGATAGAAACTATTTTCCCTGGTTTATTTCAGTTACCAAGGATTTTCTTCTGCGGGCTGTAGTTTGGTCAGTTACGATCAGTACAGTTCTTCCTGGAGTAAACCCATCTGGAATCATAATCCTATTGTTTTTTGCCTTTCTTGGAGATACACTGTTCTGGCTCTTTAAGTTACCTACATTGCCTCCACTGCCTGGTTTTCTTGGTAAGTGCTAACCACTTCCTGTTTTCTTCAGAGTAAATCATATTTTTTAAATAGTAGTTTGGAAAGTTTGGGGGGAATAAAAGTGAATTTGGTGTGCTAGAGCCAATTTGTACCAGCTCTCAAAAGCCAATTTTCAGTTTTGAGGAATTTTGTGAGCCAGTTGTTAAACATGTCTATTTTAAAATATTAGATTATATAAGCTTAAAATTAAATAACTTATATTAAAGAGCAGTAAAAACTCAAAATTCATCACTTCCTAATGATTTTACTACATTTTTCCCTTATCCATGCTCTTAAGATTATTTGTGTCGATTGTATCTTTATGGCGGAAATAGTATATGATGGTGTGCTGCTCTGCATCTTCCCAGCTCCACATTCAGTGACTCTATGTTGATAGCTTAAAATCGGCCATGTTGGACCACACAGTCAGAAAATTCTGCAAATTAGGGATTGATACATTGTTTTGTTGATTGTTTTGTCAATTGTCTAGACTTAAAATTTTATGGAGAAAACGTTAATAATTTGGATTAAACTTAAAAATATGTCTTATCTGTAGCCTTTGTCTTGTGAATAGCATAAAAAAAATTGTGGATATTTTCTTCTAGAATTCAAAAACTAATTTCTGATTTGTCAAAGAAGTCACTCACATCATTGACAAATGAGTGAAGTTCTGACATAAATCTTGTTCCATTTTCATCTTATCCAGTCACATAACCAAAAATACCAACTAACATTCATGGTGAAACTATACTTGTTCATCAGTGATGAGTGATTTCTTTGCTGAACCAGACAGTAATCAAGCATTATTTGTAATCTGATTTTGGAAGTCATGGTTGAACTGCAACCATAGTTGGTTATGAATCCAGTTCAGCAAAGATTAGTGGGGGCATCCTGTGAGAATCAGTCGGCTATATGGAATTTACAGTGAAGAGTATTGTATATTGGTGAATGTGTGCTGCACAATGCATCTTTAATATTATTAAAATGTATAATAAATCATATCTTTTATATTGTTAAAATGTGTAATAAACTTATATACAATATAAAGGTGCATGCATTTTTGGAGAGCTGGTTGTTAAGCATTTAATAGCACACCTCTGGGTATATTTAAAATCTAATATCATCGTCTTAAAAAATTAGACAAAAATGTTCTTCCAGAGGCAGTGAGAATGCCTACCCAGGACATGCATGCAAATTATTCTTAAGACTAGCTATTATGCCTTTAATATTTCTTTCTAAAATTCCATTAATTACAAAATTTCAATTTTCCACTTTCAATTTACCGCAAAAGGTATTTTTGTGTTTGTTTCTAACAGATTTACTAATCACAGAGTTTTATTCAAAAACCACTTACCATTTACACATACATATATATTTGCACACATTCCCCAAACTAAAAGTTTTGTTTTGTTTTTGTTAGCTTATAATAGGAAAATCAGTGTTGTTAACTTAGGCCAAAACTATTTGCTTTTGAATTTGTGCTCAGCAGTTGAAGCTAAATATAAAAGAGGAGTAGAATTATTAACATCTTATTATGAACTATTTCTCAGTATATTTTTAAATTTTCTGTAAACTGAAGTTATTTCACTTAATGTATTTTACTTCTCACAGGCACTATTTGTTCCCTAAAGTTGTTAGTAAGGAGCCCTGGTGGCACAATGGTTAAGTGCTTGACTGCTAACTGAAAGGTGGGATATTTGAACCCACCAGTAGCTCCACAGAAAAAAGACCTGGTGATTTTCTCCTGTAAAGTTTACAGCCTAGGACACTCTATAGGGCAGTTCTACTCTGTCCCAGAGGGGCAGTTCTACTGTACCCTATAGGGCTGCTGTGAGTTGGAATCAACCGGACAGCACACGACAACAACGTTGTTCATTGAATTGTTGTTAAAATGAGCTGTTTCCAGTTATGCCGGTGTAGTATAGATCAGGGGTTGGCAAGCCACCTGTTTTTGGTCAATCAAGTTTTATTGGAACACATTCAGTCTCATTTGTTTACATATTACGTATGGCTGCTTTTGCGCTGTAACAACAGAGTTTTGAGCTTCTAACAGAGACTGTATGGCCTGCAAAGCCTTAAACTATATATTATCGGGCCCTTTACAGTAAATGTTTGCTGACCCCTGCAACTGTATCAGTGCTTCTCAAACTTTATTGTACATAGGAATGAGCTTGAGATTGTGTTAAAACGAGATTCTAATTAAATAGGTCTGAGATGGGGCCTGAGATTCTGCGTTTCTAATAAACTCCAACACCACGCTCTATGTAGAAGGATCATTAGCTCTCAAGCCTGGCTGCACATGGAAATCATCTGGGGAATTTTTTAAAATGCTAATGCCTGGGTCCCACCCCCAGAGATTCTGAATTAATTAGTATGGAGTACAGCCCAGGCATTAGAATTTTTAAAAGCCCCCCAGATGATTCTAATAATATGTAGCTGAAGCTGAAAACCAGTGTTCTAGACTCTATGAAAATGTTCTTTACTCCTCAGCTTCTTTTTACCCATCCAAGTCTATTATTGCACAACAAAATGTACCACATTGCAAAGAGAGAAAGCTTTGCAGTGATCACATGAAGTCTCCCAAGATAACTGGAAATATTCTGAAAAGTATGTACGTGATATATTTTATATCTCTTTTTATAGTATTATACCTGTGATAGAGAAAGTTTACCTTTTTTTATGATATTAGGACCAGTGTCCAAAGCAAAAGCATTATCTGAATCCATAAAGAAGATGTATTAAAATATAGAATACATGTGATGATTACTTGTTCTGTATTTTTAAGAGTTTATTGAAATAATTGCCAGGGACAACTGATGGTGAAGCATTTTTGTTTGCTTGTTTCTGAAAAGAATGTGAAAACAATTTCCCTGAGACACTTTTCCCTTGCCAGTGGCCTGGTTTTGATTTGGCAGATGTCGCTTTCTTGCCTCTCAGCCCATGGGGACCTTGCGCTTCGTTGAACACCTTCTCTGATACAAGAGTATTATTTTCTCTAAAAATTTGTGTTCTAGAAATTTTTTTAAGTAGGCAAAAATTATCAATATATATGGGCATCCTTATTTCATCTACTCCCAAATTATTTTAAAGCAAATCATTACTGAAAAAAAATGGTCTTGTACTGTAATGTTTCACAGAGTCTAAATTTTGCTGATTATATCCCAGCGGTGGTATTTAGCATGCTCCTCTGTCCCTTTTATATAAATTCATTGTTAGATGTAGGGGCTTGATCCGAAGGTTTGTTTCTGTATGGTCCACAAAGCCTAAGATAGATAGATAGATACAGATATATTGCTTTTGTTTTTTGCAAGACTACTTCGTAGGTGATTCATGGGTATGTACTGTCTGGTCATCTCTTTTTCTCTCATATTATTAGCTATTGATGATTAACATCTTCATTCACTACTTCCTTAGGCATTGCAACTGTGGTGCAGTGGGTTTCTTTTATGTGGCCTTTCTGGCCCTGAGTTTACAATTCTTCCAGAATGATTGGTCGGGCTCCAGCCTGCTAAGTGATTGATCTGTTTGCTATCCATCTAACAGCTTGCAAAGACTGGTCGGTTTGCTGTCTGCCTAAGTGACTTCCAGGGATTGGTTGGTTTCTATCCACCTAAGTGGCTTGCAATCCACCCAATAGAATTGGTCAGTTTATCATCCTGCTGGGAAAATCATGCCTTGAAATTGACTAAGAGTTTTCCTATGTACGCGGTCGATCTCACAGATCTACAAGAGCCTGGAGAGGAGCGTGTCCTTTGCACCCAAGGTCCCTGCACTGAGGACCTCCTAGACTGAAATAAAAGAGCTGTAATAATGGTCAAGGGCTGTAATACTGAGCTACTAACACTGAAGACCAAGAGAAATGGCGACAAGGACAGCAGAGCCGGGAAGCAGAGAAATGGCGACACTGGTGTGATCAGCAGGAACCGCGCGACCAGCAGACACAGTGTCTAAAATACTGAGAGCGTTTGGTAAATGTTGAAAGGATGAACGAAAGGGCAGGGTTGTCCATCCTATCATAACTCACCAAAGCCTTTGCTTAGAAGCAAAGTAGGTTAGGCATTTTTAAATTATCTGATGTGAAGGTAAAATGGAACCCATGTAAGTATTTGTTGGTGTTTCAGGTAACCTAACATAGAACATAGTTTCAGGAACTGTTTGCTGTTTGTACCCAAAGGGATGACTGAATTCGAGGTTGCAGTAAAACTTTCTATATTTAGAATTTGATCACAGTCTTTCCAAATGCTGTATCCTATTTCTTACTTTTTAGCTTCAGGTATTTTGAGGGATATTAACTATCATAATCTATCTTTTTAATCTGCATATTAAAATCTTTTCTTTGCAGCTCTAATTTATTGTACTACTTTAATTTCTTAAATTAAAAACTTAATTTTATCCAAGGACTAAGCCTAAAGGAAGTGGTTCCTAGGATTATATAGTTGTCTCCTTCACATCTGATGTGCTGACAGATGTTTTCTGTATTTGGAAACTAACAAAAGAGTTGTTTGACTTCTCCATTAAAGGTGCAATGCTTGCTGGGTTTCTCATCAGAAACATCCCAGTCATCAATGATAACGTGCAGATCGAGCACGAGTGGTCTTTCTCTGTGAGAAATATATACCTGTCTTTCACTTTGGTTTATGTCGGCCTTCGACTGGATTCAGAGGTATGAACTAGGGATTTCTAATTACAGAGTAGGAATTTTGCTCCTCCAGTGCTGCAATATTTAGAATCACTGAGCTTTACAAAGAGGATGTGGACACTTTGCGTGACAATCTCAAGGAGGGAATAGCATTTATTTCATACGGGACTATTGTGCGGGTAGTACCTTATGCTTCACAAGACCTCAGAAACTGTTCCTATGCTTTCTTGGAGAAAGGTGAAGTGGGGACAGCACCAAGAATAAAGGTTCCCCTTTTCTCTGACAGAGATGCAGGCCATAGTTATAAACTATCATCATTGAGGGAGAAGACTTATTATTGGTACGCAAAGCCCTGTATACATGCTTAGGGCTAACTGTACCGGCTCAGGAAACTTTCTAGTGTATAAAATGAGGCTCGTGTTTTTGTTTTGTCTTGTTTTCCATGTATGTTTTTGAATGCAGGAGTAAAAGTTCCTGGGGGACGTCATGAACCAGGTGAGGCTTTTTGCCCTAGTCTCACCCTGGGGCCACAGATGATAAATAAAGCTAGTACTGAGAGGGTTAAGTCAGCTAGTGTGGGGATTTTGAGCACAGACTCTGTTAGCTGCTTGCCTGAGTTCAAAACCTGGCTCCACCACTCACCAGTTTCATGATCTTGAGCAAATTGTGCCTTTTTACAAGAGGACACGTGAAAAATGGGGATAATAGTACTACCTACCTATCTCATAGTGTGGCTATGAGGTCTAAATAAATTAACTCTAAAACACTTAGAACACTGAAGTGTTTGCTAAGTAAAGCCCATTACCTAGAAGGTTTGTGTTGACCCATACGTGGTCTGAATGCTGAAGGAAAAGTTTAAGGTCATCTCATACCTCAAGTCCTTCTTCTCTGCATGCCTTTAGAGAATTATCTTAGTGTGTCTATTTTTATATTTCAGGCCCTGAAGAAGTTGAAGGGTGTTTGCGGGAGACTAGCCATGGGTCCTTGTCTTGTGGAGGCATGCGCATCTGCTCTTCTTGCCCACTTCCTAATGGGTTTACCGTGGCAATGGGGATTTATACTGGGGTAATGGTTTTTCTTTGTCCCTATGAAAACGTGCACAGATTTTAGGCATTTCTATGATTCTGTACCAGAGAATGGGTATTAGCATTTACTTAAGGACGTCAGAAAATGTGACATAGACATTCCAGCGTAATCTAAATACCCTAACTTTAAAATATAGTATATGTTTCTGTAGGTGCTAACTTTTACAGTGATTATAATAATTTAAATTAATTGAAGAAGTAATGGTCTTTTAACTACCCCTGGTTCCATTCTGGTGACAGAGATGCAGGATCCCACCTTAAGTCTGTACAAAGGAAAATAAACACATTAACAGTCATTAACCCCCAGGACTGTTTTCCTCCTTCTTGTCACCAGACTGTTGTGATTTGTGCTTCTGCTGTCTCTTCCTCCTGTTGTCAGTCCGTGCTTCTCATGATGAAGAACCATGAGAAGTAAATAAATAACAAAGCACTTAGTGTTTGGAGGTAAGAAGAGTCCCTCGGTGGTGCAAGTGGTTAAGCTTAGCTGGTAAGTGAAACGTTAGAGGTTCCAGTCCACCCAGAAGTACCTCAGAAGAAAGGCCTGGCACTCTATTTCCCAAAAATCAGGCATTGAAAACCCTATGAAGCACAGTTCTACTCTGACAAGGATGAGGTTGCCATGAGGTGGAGTCGGCTCTATGGCAACTGGTTTGGGTTAAGTAGGTTAAAAGTAAGAAATTCTTACTTGTTATGGTTTAAATTCTAGAGCTTTACTGCTTGGGTTCAGATCCCAGCTCTGCAGCTTTCTAGCATGTGACTTTTGGCAAATTACTTAATCTCTCTGGACCTCAATGCTTATTTGTAAAATGATGATTATGATTGAATCTACCTCATAGGGTTGTTACGAGAGTTAAATTAGTTAATACATGTAAAGTGCTTAAAACAGTGTTTGGCACGTAAAGTGCTCCTTGCTGTTCCTGCTGCTCCTGTTGTTATTATCACCACGGTCACTGTCATCACGACCTTCTCCTCCTGATCTGTCCTCTTACTTTACATACCGAGTCCTGATAGTGTCACTGGCTTCCAGTCTAAAATACACGTGGCAGTGTTTTTCAAGCCTCATAACATGAATGTTTCGTTTAAGAAAAAGGCAGATTTCTGGGCCTTAACCCCATTAGGTCTTCTATTTACCGGTTGCTGTGGAATCATTTCCGACTCATGGCGACCCCATGTGTGTCACAGTAGAACTGTGCTCCACAGGGTTTTCAGTGGCTGATTTTTCAGAAGTAGATCACCAGGCCTTTCTTTTGAGGTGCCTCTGGGTGGACTTGAACCTCCAGCTTTCAGTTGGCAGCTAAGCACATTGACCATTTGCACCACTCAGGGGCAGATCTTCTATAGCACTCACACAATAAATAAATAATATAAATAGCCCCGGTGGCGCAGTGGTTAAGAGCTGTTAACCCAAATGTTGGCTGTTGGAATCTACCAGCTGCTCCTTGGAAACCCTATGGGGCGGTTCTTTTCTGCCCTATAAGGTCACTGTGAGTCAGAATCAACTTGACGGCAACAAGTTTGTTTTGATTTGGTACATATCTATCTATATATCTATAAATTTTTTTTAAGGCAACCTAAGCATTTCCATTGCAGGTTGTCTGTGGCCGCACTCTGAAAAACAGTGTCCTGTGGAATTTATGTGTGTGTGTTTCTGGTTTGGTACTTCTATGCCATTTGAAAGAGTGTAGGTAAAAGTCTACAAAGTCTAGCCTCCAAAAGAGTAGAGGTTGTTATAATTTTTTTTAAAAAGAAAGCTATTAAGATACTATCATAACTCATTAAAGTGCTGCCTGCTCAGTTTTGTTTTAGGTGCTGCATCTCCATACGTTGTGGCACCTTCAATCAGTCTTTTGATGGAAGAAGGCTACGATGTTAAAGGTGTCCCGACCTTACTCCCGGAGGCTGAGGACTTCAGTGACATTCTAGCCATCACTGGCTTTAACACGTGCTTGGGCATAGCATTTTCCACAGGTAAACCAGTCAGTTCACAACATACTGTTCTCTTGCACTCTAGAGACATAGATTAACATGTTATGTTAAGCGTGGCGTATTTGCTTGGTAATTGATTAAGGCAAAATAAAGGTAGAGAAAACAACTCCAGGAGTTCTGTACCAGGGTGGGGACCAGTACATACCTTTACTCCCTTCCTGTCTCTAGATATAGGCTGTTCAAGAATCTGCAGTAAGCACAGTAAAAGGGATACAAAGTTGTAAAGTTTAAAGAAGGATGAGAACAGCTTCTGCTTGGAGTGATCTGGGAAAGTTTAATGTTGGAGACTCACACGAAGGATGAGTAGATTTTTTTCAATGAGCACAAGTGACACAGCAGTGCAAGCAGAAGGAACAGAATGTTTCTAAAAGAGGAACAATTACTGTCCCCTCGTCTTTAACATTTTGTTGGTAGCGACAGCAATGGTTTTAATGGGTTGCGTTAATCCTTGTAAACAAGAAATAATTTGTGTCTGTTGCAGACGTATCTTATTTTATGTAATAATAAAAGAGGAATTTAAGGCATTTCTTCACACACTATTATTTGATACCTTTTTACCTTTAAAGGCGTCCTGGTGGTGCAGTGGTTAAGCGCTCAACTGCTAACCTATAGGTCGGCAGTTCGAACCCACCAGTTGCTCTGCGGGAGAAAGATGTGGCATCTGCTTCCATAAAGATTACAGTCTTGGAAACCCTATGGGGCAGTTCTACTCTGTCCTGTAGGGTCGCGATGAGTTGGAATCAACTCAATGGCAGTGGGTTTGGTTTTGGGGCTTTTATTATCCTTTGGCATTTCTTAATCTTATCTTCTAAGATTGAGAGAGAAGATTTTCAACCTTGTATTATTGACAAAATGTAATCGTAGCCTAAATTTAGCTTCAGATTATCATGTGGGAAACATATCTTCTTGGAACGTCATGCATTTTCAGTTTCTCCAAGCCCTGTAGTTATCTTCCCATTTTATGATTATATATGATTTATGCCAGTTAGCAGAGCATCACCTCTTCACATTGCCCCAGCGTCTGCCTTCCAGCCAAGTCCTGCCTTACAGTGTCTGCTGTGTATTACTGGCAAATTAATCTTCTCAAAATATTGTTTAATAATTTTACCTCCTGTTATCTCCTCAAGAACCAATGAGAATTCCCTTTTACCTATTAGGTCAATTCTACACTCTTATCCTTATTTTAATTCTACTGTACTTTCCCAAGCTTATTTTCTCACTGCTTTCCTGGTACACACCTTTAATACAGTCGTTCTCAACCTTGGCTGCACATTAGAATTACTTGAGGAGTTTTAAAAAATACCCATATATGGGCCCTAAATTAACCAACCAACCAGTTACTGTCGAGTTGATTCCAACTCTTGGCACCCCTTGCAGAGTACAATACATGGTGCTTCATAGGGTGTTCAATGGCTGATTTTTTTTGGAAGTAGATCACCATGTCTTTCTTCTGAGGTACCTCTGGGTGTACTTGACCCTCCAGCTTTTTTTGTTCACAGCCGAGTGTGTTAAAATTTGTACCACGCAGGGACATCCATAGACCAATTCAGTCAGAAACTTTGAGAATGGAAACCAGTGCAGTCAGGATAAGAACTATTGCTTTAGAGCAATAGTGTTTGTATTAGAACCATAGGGGGAGGGGGAGGGGAGAGGAGGGAGTGGGGTGGGGGTCAGGGCTGGGGTTTTTATAATCCAGAGTTGTTGGGGGTGTAGGGGTGGAGGTGGGAAGAGAAAGTGTGGATAGTTCGAAGAACCTTCATAACTGACTCTGATAGGATCCCTCTCTTCCCCCTCCCACTCCCTTCCAGTGTGGTCCATAGACCTTCTGGATCAGGATGCCCTAGATGCCTCTTTTAAATGTGGCTCCCAGGCCCTGCCAGACTTATTGAATTGGAATTTCCAGTGATGAGACCCAAGTCTTTTTTTCCCCCCCGAATAACTTTAATATACCAGAGACTGAAAAGAATTAGCTACTTTCTACACACTCACAGTAAATTATTTACTGTAATACCTTGAGTGTTGTGCTAATATCACAGAGTGACGCGTTTGACAGTTACACCGTTACCGGGCAGACAATTGTCTTAGCTAAATAAAAATACTGCAGAGGTCGTTTAAAAAAATAAATAATTAAAGAGACAATTGCTGCAATAACAAGAAATAACTAGTTACTGAGTACATTTTTTCCTTACAGCAGTGTGTGAAGAAGGGCTTTATGTGTTGAATAATTTTGATGTAATTTTCTGCATAATGTTCTAGCGAAGATTTTTCTATTACCATTTCCTAAATTATGTATGCTGTGGGGGAAAATATAGGTTCTACTTACCTCTTTCAAAGAAGTTAATCAAGAAATAAAAACTTTTCTAATAGCAATCTGGTGGCACAGTGGTTAAGAACTCAGCTGCTAACCAAAAGGTTGGCAGTTCAAATCCACCAGCCGCTCCTTGGAAACTCTATGGGGCAGTTCTGCTCTGTGCTATCGGGTCTCTATGAGTTGGAATCGACTCAGCAGCAACGGGTTTGGTTTTTAAGAGCAATCTCCAAAATCATTTATTTTCAGATTTACTTCTAGAGTAAACATTTGAGAAGGAATAAGTTCTTTGTACTCTTTATAGTAAGAAAAGGTTTTTGATTTTTATGTCCAAATACTTAGGTTACTGCATTCTTATACATCTCAGAGATACTAAAATCAATGCACATCTATTATTAAAAATCAGACTCTTAAATGATAATTTGAAGGCTTACCTATATCTAAGTCACTCAGCCTATGCCTATAATGCAGTAGAACAAATTAGCTCTGAATTACGAATTTTATCTTTCACATTTTCTTAGGCCGTTTTACTAAAATTTATTGACATAAACGCATGTAAAACCACACAAATCATATCTTAGCCTGTTTCATAATTTGTCTCCAATTACATGCATACCTTTCTTATACCATTAAAAAAAAAACCCCAATCTTATAAGATAAGCTCTTTTTAGTAAACACTTTAAGTCACAATATTTAAGAATGCAGAGGGTCTGTAAACTTCCTCGTATGTAATTATATGCTTTATTCCAATGATTGTAGAGGTGAAGTTTGTGTATTTAAGGATTAAGCATTCTGTCTGAGCATTTCTCTTTGTGTCTTCTTCAGGCTCCACAATTTTTAACGTCCTTAGGGGAATTTTGGAGGTCGTAACCGGTGTGGCAACTGGATCTCTTCTCGGAGTTTTTATTCATTACTTTCTGAGCAGTGACCAGGTGAGAGAAATAACCTGTGGGAAAGTCATGCTCTAAAATGCCATTAAAAACGCTCTGAAACACTTCCATCAAAGCTAAGTGTGAAGGACGTGGTTCAGAAAATAGCCCACCAGTTTAAAGTTGCTTACTGCTGTATCAGTGCCATCCACGAGCTTTATGAAGGGGACTAAATGCGTAAGATATTTAATGCAGTCTGAACATTTTTTTCTCTAATTTATATTCTATACACTTTAAATTTCACAATAAAACAAATATCATCAATTAAAAAAATAAGATATGCAAGATTTTTTATTTAACTAAATCATGATATATAATGGCTTTTTTTTTTTTTGGTCCTTTTTGTTAGTATCAAAATACTTTAGCTTCTAATACTATCAAACAGATAGGCTTTAACATCTCTGTGTAATGCAGTCCAATATTTCCTGCAAAGATATCAAAGTTCCTCACTGCACACAATGCTTTCTCAGTGAGACAGAAGGTTTTGATTGTTTCCTTTTGTCCTCCTAATTCTCTTAGGATAGATAAACATACAGAAATTTTTAAGAATTGGTATTTTCAGATTTCAGTGCACTTTGGAGTTCATCAAAATTAAAGTAGAATTTTAATTAAGAAAATTAATATTTCCATTATCAAAATGCATGTTGATTTGAATTTTTCTTATACTGTTACTCAAAAAAAACTCTGAAATTGTCTACAGAAGATGCTATAAATGCACAAAAGAAACATATGAGAGTGTTCTAATTATACAACAAAATAAAGAGAATACATTTGTTTAATTTTTTTTATCTATAAAAAATAATAGCTTACTTTTTTGCCTACTGTGTATAAAATGCTGTGGTGAGTACTTTAAAGTCATCCTCTAGTGCTACACTGTCCAACATTGTAGCCACTAGCCACATGTAGCCATTTAAATTAATAAAACTAAAAATTTAGTTCCTCATCATAAGTTCTAACCAGTCTCTCTAATAATTACCACACAATTTAAATTAATTGTTCAAGGTTTGCTAATTGATCTACCGTCAAGACTTATTCTTGTTGAAAACAAAGAAGCTAATGTAACCTCAGAAGTATTCAGTCCTGAAAGTCATGTTCACACTAGCTGATCAGCTAATTGCTCAACATTAAGGAGACTAAAATATGTTGATTGAGGCAAATATTTTCTTATCTAAACTCTGAATTATCCTAATTTGTTCCTTAATATTAAATGTACATACAATTGTAAAAATACTTGTAGACCTTTTTCCAATACATTTTTAAAAATCAAAAAAGAAAACAGAATCAGTTCCTCAGTTGCACATTCAGTGGCCACAGTGACTAGCGGCTCTTGGACTGGGAAGTGCAAACAGAGAATATTTCTGTCATCACTGAAAGTTTTCTGGGCAGCGCTGACCTAGTGCAATCCGGATCACCCCTGAGGAGGGCACTGTGAAAATGACCATTTTACTGATGAAGAAATTGAGAGGATAAGTGACTTGAACAAGATCACATAGCTAGAAAGCAGTGGAGCTGGGACTGAACTCAGGGCATCCAGCTCCAGAGCCTGCATTTCTCCAAATCAGATCAAGCACTTTTAAAAACCTGCATCTTAAAGTGATCAAGATGTTTAAAAGGCTGAACAGAGGAAAGTAAAAAGAGAAAGGTACACAATCGACAGATCAAAAAAAAAAAAAAAGCTGCTGTCAGTCTACAGCCTCCTGAAACTTCTTACTAGTCAAGGATTTAGAAAGAAAAACCAAGCGAGCAAAATTAAAGAGGAAACAGAGAGCCTGAAAATAGAGATACGATATCTTCAACCTCCATAGAACCTCTAAGATGTAAATGTTTTTATACCAGTTTCATGGACGAGGAAACAAAGCTTGGAGAGGCGAAGTAATGCAGCCACTACATGCACGCCAATGACGTAAAAGAGCTAGGATTAACCCAGGTCTGTCTGCATGCGAAGCCCATGTACTTTTTTCTACTGTTCTATTCAACCCTGTGAAATTATGCACTGATAACTATTGTTGTTAGCTGATGTCAAGTCTGTCCCCAACTCATGGAGACCCCATGCATAACAGGACAAATCACTGCCCGTGTTTTCATAGCCTGATTTTTGGAAGTAGATCACCAGGCCTCTCTTCCTAGTCCATCTTGATCTGGAAGATGCGTTGAAATCTGTTGGGCATCATAGCAATACGAGGAAGATAATTGGTGTTCCTACATTTGAGTATACACTCACTCTGCCTTTGTTAAAGAAAAGAAGGTAAATGTTAAGTCACGCATTATGTGAGCAGAGGCAGGCATTTTTATTTTCCTATAAATTCGTATTGTAGAAAAATCAATAATTACAAGTCAGTTATTAGAAATAGTTTTGCTAATTAACTTTTTTCTCCTAAAGCGCGTTCTTGATTGGAAGAGAATAGTCCTTGTTTTGGTGTTCTCTGTGCTCACTGTTTTCAGCAGTGCGTATTTTGATTTCCGGGGATCAAGAGGACTGTTCACGTTCGTCATGGCCTCCCTTGCAGGCATAGGATGGACAAGGAACAAGGTGAATTTCATTTTAAGTTCTGTTCACAGCTACTTTCTGATCAGATTACTTTTTCTTTCCAGACACTTTTTTAACATCAAATAACATTTTTATCATAAAAGCTATTTATATGCATATACAGATGTACAATGCCACACACACATGAATATCCTTTTTTTCCTTACGTATCAATTTATGATTTGATGTCTTTACTTAATATATATCATGGTTATATTTTCATGATGCTTTCCTTTTTTTTTGTCATGGCTGCAGAGTATTGCATTTTATGGCTATGTCGTTGTATGACGTTCCGTTGATTCTGACTTATAAATAGTCTGTAGGACCCATAGGGTTTCCAAGGCTATAATCTTTACGGGGAAGGAGCCCTGGTGGCGCTAGGCTGCTAACTGAAAGGTTAGTTGTTCTAACCCACAAGCCGCTGTGCAGGAGAAAGACCTGGCAATCTGCTTCCGTAGAGATTACAGCCTTGGAAACCCTATGGGGCAGTTCTATTCTGTGCTATAGACTAGCTGTGAGTGAGAGTGGACTCTACGGCAACAGCTTTGGTTTTTGGTTTGAATCTTTAAGCGACCAGATTGCTAGGACTTTTCTCCTGAGGAGCAAGGAGTGGCTGGTGGCTGCTGACCTTTTGGTTAACAGCCAAGCGCTTAACCATTGCACCACCTGTGCTCGTTACTTAACCAGTCTCCTACTAACAGGTTGTTTCTAGTTTTCTGCTAAGACAAACAGTACCTCTATTAAATACCCTTACATATACCGTATTTCATAAGCTGTAGGACACTATCATTTCTAAGAAGCACCGTTACTTTATGTGCCACCAAGAAGGAAAAACAATATGCTGCCAGTTAAACTGTAACCCGCCATCCTAATTTCAGGAATGTTACAAGATGTGTATCTCAGAATTCACAAACTGTAGCTTATCTTTCAGTTTATCTGTAGGATAAATTTCTGGAAGTAGAATTACTCTATCAAAGAGTATGCACATTTAAATTTTTGATGGTGTCAATTTGTCCTTTCAAAAGGCTGCACTATTTTGCATTCCCACCAACAGTGTGGGAGAGGATCTCCTGACTATTTTCAGTCTTCAAATCTTTGTTAATCTGATAGGTTAAAAATGTGTATTATCATTAATCTGATTTGCATTTCTTTATGAGTGAAGCTAATCATCTTTTCATATTTAACAGCCAGTTTGTTCAAAAGCCTTTGCCCATTTTCAAGAGTTATTTGGGTTTTCCTTATTGATTTTCAAGATCACTAAGATTATTAATTTTCTTAATCTCTGTTATGGAAATTAGCTCGTTGTCATTTATTTATTTTAATTTCCAGATATATTTTTATAGAATTGACCTTGGCAGAATCATGTTATTTTGCTTAATGAAGAGTTTACAAATGTAGGTGACTTAAATTAAGGGCAGATAATGTGATTTTGGAATAATCTTATAAAACTTGAAGACAAATGTTCAAAATAATTAAATTTAAGATAATGCCTTATAGAAGAATATGTGAAGATCATAAATCTTGAGATCAGGTATAAAATCATATTCAGTTAAATGAATGTCTGCGGGGATCTACTGGAGACAAAATTTCATTGTGGGTAAATAGCATTCAGGTAGAAGGCTTTCACTGTATAAGGGTGTGATTACAAAATTACAACAGGTATGATGTTGAATTATCTCATTTTAGAGGGAGGGATTAGTAGGGGCTGCCTGAAGCATTGTATTGAGAGGGTACTGAGGCCACAGGAAAGTGGGCTTAGATGGAATGGACTTCAGGAGAGAGGGGAGAGCCCCTTGTAGCCCTGCTGTAGGCATTATGAGCACCTAAGCATCCTGCCTTGCCAGGAAGCTAAACTATAAGGCTTATATCATGTATGTCTCTCTCTCCTCTCTTTTTTTTAAGCAGCACCTGTATTAATAAATTCTACTGATTACACTGGTGGCATAGTAGTTAAGAACTACGGCTGCTAACCAAAAGGTCAGCAGTTCAAATCCACCAGGCGCTTCTTGGAAATTCTATGGGGCAGTTCTACTCTGTCCTATAGGGTCACTATGAGTCGGAATTGACTTGATGGCAGTGGGTTTGGTTTTTCGGGTTTAACATCCAACAAATGGAACGGAAAAAGTAAAAAACTTCCCAGTATAAATTGGGTACTCATCCTCATCACATTTGTAGTTATCAAAACATTTGTCTTTACATGGATTCACTTTATCTGTGGGCTGAGGCAAGGTTAATAGCTTACCTCTGCTAGTCTCAGCTCAAGACCAAGGGGTATGCTGCCTCTTTGGTGCTGTACTTGGCTTCTCTCTGAGGATTCATTGTCTGTCTTCCATCTCAGCCTTGGCTGCTGACTAAGAGACCCTGCTCTTAGAAGCATCCTGACCTACTCCTTTGCCCCAAGACAAAGATTATAGTTCCCACTTAGCAAAGGGATGCTACTGCATTTGCATTGTGACCCCATGGCAACTGGTTTTTTTTTTTTTCTTAATAAGTCAGAAAGCCTTCAGTAACATGTCCAGGGTAACAAAATTAGAAAGTGGAAGCATTGGGATTTAAACTCAGGTTTATCTGACCCCAAAACAACTTGTACTACCCTATAATACAACAGTAGCATTGTTGTACAGGGCACATTTTTATATTTTGACATCTAATCCCTCAATCCACAGAGAAAATCACTATTAAAATATGTTTCATATATACCTCTGGTGATAAAGTGTATGTATATATACACACACACACATATATAGTTAGGTAGATATACACACACACGTACAAATGTACTCTAATTTTTTTAACCATTCCTATATACCTATATATTTAGGTTATTTCCAGTCTCTTCTATTATAAATTATGCTGAAATCCAATATCTGATTATTTCCTGTTAGGGAACATTCCTAACAGTATAATTTTGGTGCCAAATAATATGAACATTTTGAGGTTTTTGACACATATTACCAAACTACTTTCTAGAGCTGTATCAATTTACTTTTCTGCCAGCAATATATGAAGTAAATATCTCATCACAAACTCATCAGCTTGGAATAATGCTTATCAAACTTTGACATGCATCAGAATCACCTGGAAGGCTTGTTAAACTAGATTTCTGGGCCCCGTCCCCAATGATCTGATTTGGTAGGTCTAAGGTGGGGCCTGAGAATCTGCATTTCTAACACATTTCAGGTGATGCTGATACTACTCCTCTGGCGACCACACTTTGTGAGCCACTGGTTTAAAATATTATTGCTTTTAATCTTCAGCCGTATTGATAGGTGAGAAATGGCATCCTGTTTTCCTTTATGCTTCTTTAACAGTGAGATTGAATACTTGTTCATATTTTTTGCCATTTGAACTTTTCTTTGATAGGTCTTGTCCGTTATCTTTTGATTTAACATATTGACTACTGATTTGTGAGATACGCACACACAATATTAGCCCTTGGGCCTGTTTATTCATTATTAATAGACGAATACCTTATATTTTCATGTGGTCAGCTCTGTCAGTCTCTTACTATAAGTGTTCCTCTATTTTCTTTATAAAGATCTCTTTCCCAGTGAAAGTGATCCCTTCCCCAGCAAAATCTGACATATGTTATCTCACATATTCTTCACAGTGACCTTGAAAGGTAGACATTGTCGCATTTTACAAACAAAGACATCAAGACTTAGAGATAGTAAATAGTTTGCCTAAGGTCACAAAGCTAGCAAGTGGAGAGTCAGAATGAGAACCCACCATTTGAGTACATCAAATTGGTTCCCTAAAGAAAGAAAACTAGTCTTTATTGAATCAATTATGTGGCAGTCACTCTCAGTATCTTTTAAATTGATCAAGAAACCAAAGTGTTTGGTAAATACCGATGCTAGATTATTTCATTATATGGAATGAGATTTGAGTTGTTCACAGAATTATGGAATTTTAAAGCAGTAAAGAATTTAGCAATCAGTCTAATCCCTAAAAGTTTTAGATGACACAACTAAGGGCTAGAGGAATTAAACTTGACTGGCACTTTTAAAAAGAGATACTTTGACCTATCAAAATGTGATAACATACTATGTTGGTAGGGTGTAGAAAAATAAGCACACTTGTACGCAGCTGATAAAAGGCAATTTGGCTGTGCCTATCAGAATGGCACATGCATATATGCTCTTTGACTCAGCGATTCTAAAGGATTTATGCTATACATATATTTGTACACATATGAAGTACAAATCATCTATTTGTTGCAGTATTTTTTGTACCAACAAAAGTTGAAAACTTTAACGCTGATGACAGAGTTTCTAATAAATAATTTATGCAGAATCTCTAATTGGAATATGACAGAACTGTAAAAATGAATGAGGAAACCCTTTAAGTAACCAGAGAGAACGACTGTGGAGATTTTTTAAAAACTAAACTCAATGAATACTGTACAAAGTATGCTACTATTTTGTAGACAAGTGAGCAAACAGATGTATTTTATGCTCTAATAACCAGAGTTGCCTATGGGGTGGGAACATCTGATTGCCTGTGGGGACACAGAGGGACTTTCCACTGGCTATTCTTTTATACTTGATTGTGATGACTGTATTACCTATACAGCTAGATAGATAGGAAGTCAGATGGGTAGTTAGATACACTGACAAACTGAGAATTATTCAAAGGATGGTGAAAGATCTCCTAAGTTAGTAAATTAAAAGTAATAAAACTTTTTAAATGTTTAGTCAAGGAAACAGGAGTCTTAGGGTAAATATGATAGCGGCATTCACAAACTGATGGACTGTCAGGTGGCAATCGATGGTCCTGTGTTTTTTTCTGTGTGCAAGATCTAGTGCCTTAGTCTAGGTAATGGCTTCCCAACAGTTGGAGCCCTTCAGTAGTGGAGGAGCTGTCTCAGGACATAATGTGTGCACAGTGTGGTCCCATGGTGAGCACATGCGAGTCTAGGGTTCTCGACTCTGTTAGTGATGACCCAGAACTAGAACCTGGTATTCTGAGCCCCATACCTGGGCTCTTCCTGCTTCATTATGTGATTTCAGAATAATAGCTGGCATCTTACTTGTACTAATTCAGAGCATTCATACAAAAAAAAATTTTGAATACAATAAAAATAAACACATGGTCTGTTTGATCAGTATTTAAATTCATATGGTAAATTATCTGACAATATATTCAGAAGTATTCACCCTAATATTATAAGAATCTTTAGAATAAACATCCATTTGCAAACTCACACTTAGTATGCAAAAGCACATCATATAAAATCTTAACTGTGTAAGAAGTGTCCCAGGTGATTTTTTTGTTCTGTTGTAGCTAAACTATTTATAGATAACATAAAAATAAAAATAAAGCCTACCTTAGATCAAATTGACTCAAATTTCAAATTAGTAAAATTTTGTTACTTATAACTTCACAGAGTAAAAATTGTGTGTGTGTGTTATTTGTTTTTCTTTTAGGCAGAGGTTGAAAAAATAATTGGATTTTCCTGGTTCGTGTTTAAGCCCCTTCTTTTTGTACTGTTCGGAGCAGAGGTATCTGTTGCATCTCTCAGACGAGAAACTGTTGGTAAGAATTTCAAAGTACACTTTTGAACTAAAATCTTCTCTTTCTATATTCATTTAAAATCTCTTTAGCAGGCACGTGTCCAGTGGTTTCCATTATCACAGTTATATAAAAAGTTAATTACATGTGTAGTCATGGTCTAAGTCCATTAGACTGGTTGGTTAGAAGAGAAAGCTGGTAAATCCAAGGCAGTGAATTCCACACCTTTAACATTGTTGTTCCTCGTAAAGATGACACTACTGACCACTATCAAGAGATTACAGGCTTTAAATTTTTTCTTCCAATGATAAGAATGTTATTGTTCATTTAAACTGTTCTAAGGGCCAGAAGTTTAAACCAGCTAGTCACTTCTATAATATGTGCCCATGGAATAGAAATGTTTGTCGATTCATCCATTCTTTTATTCATCCATACATTCAAGTCATCATATTAATGCTCTCTTGATTCATAGCATAACACTTGAATATTAATTTGAACAAATACTTATGATTTCATCCTTTACTCCCATCACAATATTCGTCCATCCATACTAGGGACCCCATCCTCTGCCACCTCCTTCTGAATCTCAGAGAACAATCCTTCCCTTTTGCTCATACATCTTCAAACACCCTTATCTCAGTTTCTTCATCTTCAGAATTTAAACAGACTCTAATCATTTCTGTCTTAACAAATATATATCCTTTCTCCATTTGCCTTCCCCCAATTTATCCTTCTTCCATTTCACCCACGCCCCCCCTCCACCCAACCTACCACACAAGTTTCTCTTCTTCTTTCAGACTTTTTAAAAGCGGTAACTACATTCCCCGTTTCCACTTCAACTCCCATTCACTTTCTCAATACACTTCAGTGCAGCTTCTGCCTCATCACAGAACCGACCTTGCTCACCAAGGTTATATTGCTAAATCCAATGAACGCTTTCCAGTCTTTATTTTAGTTGACCGCTCAGCAGCATTTGATGCTATTGACCTCTTTAAAATTCTTTTGGGTTGAATTCTGAAACATCATATTTTCCAGCGCCCTTTATATTCAACTTTACACTATACATGGTTTAAACATTGCTCTTCATTAAAGATCTTGCCAAAGCACCTACTTTTCTCACTCTATATCACTTCTCAGAACTTCCAATGGCTTAATTTATAAACTATGTAATTCCAAAATATTTATCTCTAAATTAAACTCAGTATATCTAAAACTCACTCATCATCCTGTCCCCAAACCTGCTCCTCCTTCAGTGTTCCCATCTGGGAATGTGCCATCTCTTTTGTATCTTGTAATTCAGGCAACATATGCTTTTGAATACCTACCAACCTGAAAGAAATACACTTCAACAAAGAGCCACAAAATCTGCCCATAAAGAAACCCTATTACACGTTCACAGCAGATCATCCAGCAATGTCTCTCTGGAGTTTTCCCAGCCCTTTGAACTTGGAAAAGTTATTTATACTCTTTGAACTTCTTTCTTTTTTTTTTTCAACCGTAAAATGAGAATAATAGTAGCGCCTAAGCCACAGGTTGTGTGGGTTAAGTAAAACTGTGCATGTAAAGTTTAGCACAGTAACCGGCACAGAATAAACTCTCAACAAATGTTACTTTAAAAAAAAATCTCCTTATTACTTATTAGTCACCTTAGCTGTACCTTTATCAGGTTCAGTAGCCTGTAGCTGCACTTGTCAAAATCCCTTGTTTTACAAATCAGGATGAAATTTTCTTCATCAGTAAAGGGTTCTAAACAACTGAATTAAGTAGCTGTATATCATCCAGGGCTAACATGCTGTTACTATACACCAATATGGCGAAACAGTTGTGTACTGCCAGTGCCCATTCTCGTTGGTCATTGCACAGCCAGCTCCATTCTGATTGGCTGATAAATATTTTGAATAGCAATTCTGGTCTTTTACTTTATGAAGCTTTGTAAACCACATTGATGAAAATGTTAATTTTTCTCTCTTCTATGCTTTCATATGGGTTTGTTTATACTTACCACATGGTATGTGAATTCATTGTTTATATTTTTGTCTTCCTCTGACTTTGATGCTCATGAAGGCAGAGTCTGTACATTATACATGTTTGTGTACCCAGTGACCAGTTCAAAGCCTGTCATGCATAATTATCACTTAATAAATTCTTGTTAAATAAACATATGGAAGAAAGTGTGTTTCATGCTATAAAGCATAAGAGATATAACATTCTTACCTCCTTTGTAGAAATTCAAATATGTTTAATTAATTTCTAGTTTTAATCTAGGGAAAACATCTTATTTTAAACAAGTAATCTGATTGGTCATTAATATTGATTTTTTGATAAGTTACGCCTAACTATTTTTATATTTTTCATTTTGTAATGTTCTTTCATTATTTCTGTTGGTAGTGTTTTGAATCAGTAACCGTGACATGCAGTTTCTCCCCCAGTGTTCCATTATTTACAACAACTGAGTTTTTCTTACAGGCCTTTGTGTTGCCACCCTGGGTGTTGCAGTATTGATACGAATTTTGACTACGTTTCTGATGGTGTGTTCTGCTGGTTTTAACATAAAGGAAAAGATATTTATTTCTTCTGCATGGCTTCCTAAGGCCACAGTGCAGGTAATGATAGATAGGATGGCTTAGTGTTTTAACTTCTATTTCTATATGATACCTTGAAATATTGAATGAGAGAGCTTATTTAGGTTTGTTGAAAATAATTGATTGAAGTTTGATTTATGAAAATAGTTTATATTAATCTACTCTTCAAAAGTTTTATCTTTAGTATATTGATTCCTTACTTATTTTTTTTTTTTACATCACTAGGGTACAACTAAAAATATAATAAATCCCTACTCTACTAGAAAACAGTAGTAGCAGAAGAGAAGGGTTTGAATTTTTACCAGTCATAGCTCTCTATATAATCCAGAGAGATAGTTCTTACCTCTTTTCATTTCAGTATCCCAAGAAGAGAGTGAAACAGAAATAGCATGGCCCATTTTAGTGGTTGAAGATACTTCAATGTCAATATAATTAATGTTCAATGATGCTTGGCTAGATTTTATGTATAATGGAGAAAAGAAGATTTATTGAAAACACTCAGAAAATGCTTTATTGATTTTCTAGATTATTAGTTGATTTCAAATTATGTCAACAAGTTTAACCTCCTGCCAAGTGTTGCATCCACTCGACTTGACATTTCTGTACTCTAATGAGCAAGTGATGATGAAAGCACTTAGAGATAGGTGCTTGAAATTGTTGATCATGCATTTGTTAGAATACTTACAGTCGCTAACTAAATTAGAACTGTATAGACTATGATTTTCTGCAGTTGTTTAAGTATACAAATTTCTATGTTTATGGAATTAAAAATTAGTTGTTGTTAATTTGCTCAGGGCGGTTAAGAGCTTGGCTGCTAACCAAAAGGTCAGCGGTTCGAATCTACCAGACACTCCTTGGAAACCCTATGGGGCACTTCTACTCTCTTCTACAGAGTCACTATGAGTTGGAATTGGCTCAACGGCAACAAGTTTTTTTGTTTTGTTTTGGAGAATGTGTATGCTCTGTAATTATATACTAGATTTTGTGTGGCTGTAGGCATGGGCTTTATTCCAGAGAAGTTTCTCCTTTTTCCATCAGATTTTCAAAGATGTCTGAGACATAATGGTTAAGAGTACTGTGAGATTAAGGTAGTACAGTAAAGGGAATAGTTTTTCCCTCAGTGTTTCTAGCTTTCACATGACTTCCGGTAACTTTAGCAGGTAAATATCAAAACAACGATTCTAGTAGCTTTGGTATGAACAATTTGTTATAAAATGTTAAAATTTGAAAAATAGCACTTTGCTACCATGAAAGCATATTGTAAAATAAGGAAAAATATCCAGGATATATTGGATAATGTTCTGTTTTGTGCTAAAAAAGTTTTTTTCTTTTTTTGCCACTGCACAAGAAACAAGACTTTCTTATATATATTTTTCTATATCAGTGTTTCTTAAACTTTTTAGTCTGTGGCCTACTATAAGAAATATATTTTACATCAGAACCCAGCTGTCTTAGTTATCTAGTGCTACTACAACAGAAATACCACAAGTGGGTTGCTTTAACGAACAGAAATTTATTTTCTCACTCTTTAGGAAACTAGAAGTCTGTACTCAGGGTGCTGGCTCCAGGGGAAGGCTTTCTCTTTCTATTGGCTCTGAGGGAAGGTCCTCACGTCTTTTCTACTTCTGTTATTTGGTTCCTTGAAGATCTCGTGTGGCGTGACATCTGTCTTCCCCAGACTGCGCTTGCTTCGTCTGCTCTTTTATATCTCAGAAGAGATTGACTTAAGACACATTTTACACTATTACTGTCTCATTAACGTAACAAAGAATATCCATTCGTAAATGGGCTTATAACCTCTCTAGGGGTTAGCACTTACAATACATATTTTTGGGTGACAGAATTCAATCCAAAACACGGGCCAATACACAAATCCCAAAACATACACATACACATACACGTATACCCACAGAGAGAACTGAAAATATATTTTGCAGTGTGTACAGTTCTTGCCAAGAATCCATGAAGTGTTGAATTAGTTAGGGTACAGGGTAAGCTGCAATAACAAACAGCCCCAAATACAGGGACTAAATGAGATTTTTATCTCTCTCTCACCAGTAGTTCAGCATAGGCGTTTCAGAGCTGAGAGGGTGAATGCCACCCTCAGCATGTGCCTTCCATCCATGGGTCCAAGGTAGCAATTCCGACTCTCACAATTTCCCATCCAGTGGAAAGGGGGAAGAGATGAGGGACATGCTTGTCTATTCCTTTTCAGGGTACAATCTACAAGTTGCACTTATCATTTCTGCTCACCTCTCAGTGGCAGAATTTACATACATAGTCACATCTACTTGCAAATGTGACTGGAAAAAAAAGTTACTACTTGGCCAGCTCTATGACCAGCTAATACTCAGGAGGTCTATTATAGAAAAGGAACATTCAGATATTTGTGAGCAGCTACTAATCTCTGCCATTGTATCTGATGCTCTCGATATTTTCTTATCTGTTTGATTGTCTTAGAGGCTGTGTTGTGCTCTGTGGGATAAAGAGATAATCATATCAATTGATAAATTTTTCCCATGTGAATTGATAATACTGCACTTTGCCTCTAAAAGAAAATGAGAATTTTCATAATACTTAGATAAATTCTAAATAAACATTTCACCAACTCCTTAGGCAAAATTTACTAAATACCTAATAAGATTAAGTTCAAGTTCCTGAAGGTACCTACCACTTTCATGTTTCATGATGTTTAACAATTAGTTTAGCCTCTAAAGCAGTACATAACTCTTACATTTTTAGCCCAAATCTAAACCTTTACCATCTTCCAATAAGTATCACTCCATTTTTTCCTCTTATTTTTTCTTAATTCCAAATTTCTAAAGATAAAAGAATGAGGCAACCAGTAACATTCATCTTTAC